TCTTTCCTGTAGTCCCTTGCTTGCTTTTGTTCACTCACTGAAGATTCTTTGAAGTCAGAAGCATCTCCATTAAAAGGACTTAAATTTTATCTCTTCATATTGTGAAGTATTAAGTTGTTGCTTAATTTGACTTCTGGATAATTCAAGCTTCAGTAGGTTATCCTGCACTTGAAGATTGCTTTTCATTAACTATTGTAAGAAGAATGATCTCTATTTTTTCCTTTGCAAATTAAATTTAGGTAAATTTCCTTGTTGCATTTATAATTCAGTTGGTTAAGCTGAAGTTTGAATAGCATAAATGGAGAGAACTTCTACAAATCCTCAAAGGGAGTTAATTTTGTGGTATTAGAAAACCTCATGTTTACATTTGAGTGATGATTTAAATGGAGCTACACTGAATGTTAGTTCTAGATATTTGTGGGTACTGAATGTAGATGAAGTTATTTTTATACTGTTTAATAGAAATCAAAGAGCATCAAAGCTTCTGCAAACAGAAAGAAGGAAGCTATATTTTGTACAGACAAGGTCATTGCTGACTACTTGTGAAGAAAATGGCAGTATATCTTGTATTTAAACAGCTTTTCAGCTGTATTAACTGATTTAGGATACTATTGTCAACTAAGCTTTTGCCTTTTTAGTCCTTTTCTGAAGTGATTTTATCCTTCGTAGTTGTGTGTAAAATTTTAGCTGGAGCTTCTTCTGGGTTTCTTGTAATAGCCTTTTCTTAGAGTAATCTCTGCTTTCTGCTGGCTGATTTTTCCTGCATTGATTCTTAGAATTGTTAGATTTCTGTAAGATTACGGACATTTATGAGAGCTGCATCAGATATTAGAATGAAATCATCCCGTTTCCCCCCCCTCCCCCCCCCCCTTTTGAATTTAGCAGATTTTAATGCTGGGATGGCAATATCCTAATAAATGTAAATGCTGCATCTCAACCAACTAATCAAAGTTTGTAAGTCCTAGAAAGCACTTGAAAATCAAGCCTACAGTTGCAAGCTTTTTGCTGTGTTTTTATCTTAAGCTGGTGAAATGCACTGTTTAGCCACAGCTTACACCAGCAAAAGTAGTTTGGACAGTATAGTTTGTTCTACCCTTTGTTTCTTCCTCTTCCTTCCTTCTCCCACAAGCATATTCATCTATAGGGTCAAAAGCTTGTTTTGTATTGCAGGTCTCTTTAAGAGCAGCCAACCAGCAAAAGAAAAAACTTACCACACCAAAAAAACTTCTCTATGAATTACATTCCTGACTGCAGCCATTCCAGGAGAACATGGTGGTTAAAGATGGTTAAGTGTCTTTTCCCAAATAGGTGTACATGTGTCAGTTAGCAGAGATCTGTTAGGAAACTATTGTGAGCAGTTGTTTTTCCTCTACTTAATACGGGCTGATGCCAGCCTTATGAAGTTTAACCATGCCAAGTTCAAGTCCTACACCTGAGTTGAAGCAATCCCAGGCACAGCTGCGGGTTGGGCAGAGAAGAGATTCAGAGCAGCCCTGCAGAGAAGGACTTGGGGGTGCTGATCCATGAGAAAATGAACATGAGCCTGCTTCAGTGTGCGCTCGCAGCCCAGAAAGCCAACCGTATCCTGGGCTGCATCAAAAGGAGCATGACCAGCAGGTCGAAGGAGGTGATCCTGCGCCTCTACTCTGCTCTCGTGAGACCCCACTTGGAGTATTGTGTGCAGTTCTGGTGTCCTCAACATAAAAAGGGCATGGAAATGTTGGAACAAGTCCAGAGAAGGGTCACGAGGATAATCATGGGACTGGAGCACCTCCCGTATGAAGACAGACTTGAGAAAGTTGGGGCTGTTCAGCCTGGAGAAGAGAAGGCTGCGTGGAGACCTCATAGCAGCTTTCCAGTATCTGAAGGGGGCCTATAGGGATGCTGGGGAGGGACTCTTCATTAGGGACTGTAGTGATGGGACAAGGGGTAACATGTTAAAACTGAAACGGGAAGTTTAGATTGGATATAAGGAGGAAATTCTTTCCTGTTAGGGTGGTGAGGCACTGGAATGTGTTGCCCAGGGAGGTTGTGAATGCTCCATGCCTGGCAATGTTCAAGACCAGGTTGAACGAGGCCTTGGGTGATGTGGTTTAGTGTGAGGTGTCCCTGCCCATGGCAGGGGGGTTGGAACTAGATGATCTTAAGGTCCTTTCCAGCCCTAACTATTCTATGATTCTATTTACCCATGAGTGAGATGCTTGTGCTTCTTTAAGCATTCTCACCTGTGAGAATCCATCTGTGTTTCCTTAGCACCACTGGGGGTACACTTGACATATCTCCCGTCTCCACCACTGCGGTTTTCTTTCTCTTCCTGTTCTCTGCCCTTATCAGAACAGCAGCTGCTTATCAGTGATCAGAAGCCTCACCATTGCACAGCAGTCCTTGTACCTGCTGTGGGCCCCTTTTGAGTGGCAAGGCCTCAAGGTGAATGCTCTGGAACTATATTTCCTACCTGCTTTTGAGTCTCTTGATGCTGTCTTTATTACTGGTGAGGGAGACTGGCTTTCATTCTTGTTTCCTTTTCCAATAATGAGAATTAAGACAGAAAAATCAGAGCCAAAGCATTTGTGATTTTGAAATCTTCACCTTTCCCTAAGGAGTCTTGGAGAGCTACCCCTCCTGGATCTGATAGTAAAGAATTTCAGGTGCTCAGTTATTCCAAATGTCAACACCCTTGAAATGAAGGGTAGGTGTTAGAGTTTGATTGTACTGGCATGAGAGGAATCTTCTCTGACAGCAGAATGACCTTTGAGAGTTGAGTGTTGCTTAAGTACTGTAGGTTGGATTGCTTTAAGCAGTGAGAGTCTCAGTGCTGTCAGTAGTTTGGGCTAAAATCTGGTGTCTTTCTGTGGATTGCATTGACTTCATTAAGACGTTTGCATGCCATGGCATGACCTGTCACCCATAGGGTGGAGCTTTGAACACAAGTGGGTTTAAAACCCCAGAAAGGGGAGTTAATTCTGCAGGGCCCTTTGAAGTTTGTAACACAGGGCTGCAGTGGCCAGCCCTTTGGTGCTTCAGCAGTTTGCTTGCCAATCATCTTCTTGGTGAGACTTCTGTCACCTTTCCTTCAGCCAGGCAATATCCCAGTTACAATGGCCCATCTTCTCTCTTCACTTCTCTTTCCCTCTGTGCGTTAGGGAAAGATTTATCCCCCAAGTGGTCTGCGAGCTCCCTATGAACCAAAGGGTACTTGCATTTAAGTTTTCTCCAGAGCACATTCAGTGAGTACAAGAGTAGCACATACCCTCGAGACAGGCAGTGTAGGGTAAGACTTCCCATCTTATGTCAACAGAGTAATAGATTGCTCCAAATTAATGTGTTTTCATGAAAAAGCTGTTAGAGTGAGTAACTGTATTACCGCACTGATCTGCAGTTGTCCGGGCTAAATCCTTTGATGCAAAGATTTTGTCTGCACTTGAATCACAAGCCATGAAATCTATGTTGAGAACAGTTACTGCTGATGTTCAGCTAATTGCAGTGTTCAGAAGATGTGAGAATTGCTACAGTGGTGGTGTGAGATCATTTTGCAGGGAGGAAGACGTTGATGTAGTTCTTACCTGCAGTGAGAGAACTGTTTGGCTGGGATTGACTCTCCCCAGACGAAGTGCACACACAGGTTTACTGAGGTGTCTGGTTTAGTGCTGATATTAGTGTTTGATAATGTTAAAGCCTGTAAAGACTTTGGATCCCATTTCTTGAAAGGTGTTATGGCTCTTCAAACATGCATGGTATTTTGTGGGTGTTTTTAACTGTAGCTTTACATTTACCTTCTGTAACACACAGCAGGGCTCCGTTACTGTTTGCAAATAACACTTCTGCTTCTCCAGGCACATGAACATTACTCTGAAAGCTGACTAAAGAATTTTTGACTTTTTTCTGTAGTACATCTTACTTGAGAAATGAGCATATATTTTGAATAACAATAATGCATAAAGGCAACAGGTTTATGTGGTACTTAAGAAATGATCCTGGGGCTAGGGAAAGGAGTTCGGAGACTTGTCTTCACTTGCTTTATATTGCCAGAAAGACTTCTTTGAACGGTCTGTCTTTTCTTACTCTTTGTAATCTGGGGAGGTGGCTTTGACACAGTTACAGGTTAACTGGGGAACTTGGAGTCATAAAGCTGCATGTGATCAAATTGAGGGAAAGAATCTTCCACAGTATTTGAGGATGGATATCTGTTTCATAGTTACTTCTGGTAATACATACATCGGTTTAGGTACAGATAACCTTCCCTGTAAAGCTTTATGCTGGTAGTTGCGTCTTCATTAGAAGTAGACCCAGAGATGCTGTACCCAAATCCATTCTTGCTTTTTTGCAGCTTCAGTGACTTTTGGGGTCTCTTCCAAATGTTATATACTCTGATTATCTCCAACTAGGAAGTGAAGTACTCCCTCTATAGTTAGTTCTGTTAAAGATCCATGAGCAAAACTGAGATTAGAGCATTTAATCTTAATTATCTTTCATGAAGGCAAAGTAAGTAATGATTTTAAAATGGCCCAGCCAGCCTTAAAACAATAATCACAGTTTTGTCCTAGGAAAGGCAACGGAGTAGTGAGGCCCAGGCTTAAAATTGTCCAACACTTAATCTTGGATATGTTCATCATTTTTCCTTGAAAGATTTAAAAAACATTTGTAACCATTTCCTTTAGGTGTTTCATTCCCCATCCAGGGACCTTGAAGGCAGAGCTTTTCTGGCCTGTAACTCCTTTTCTCCTGTCCTGCTCACTTAGTTTAATAGCCTGTGTGTATTTGACAGGATTTCTTGATGGATCTTTAATTGAAGTACCAACATCTGTGTTATTTGAAGATTACATGTGTATTTGGGTGAAGACCACTGGAACTTTGATATTTCTACACTGAGACAAAACTGATGGAGTACTTGTTTAGCTGTGAATTTCTTATCTCTGTGCTTTGTCTGTCTTGTCTCATAGTCTAGAACATGAGCAGGAAACAGTGGTATTTGTACAGTAAGTTCTTGTTTTATTTTGCAGGTTTGTTTTAATGTGGAAGTGGATCTCACAGCTTCATGTAAATCAAACAAAGGTGAGTAGGAGTTTTGTGGATGCTGCTTTTCTTGGGGGGGGAAATGGGTGTTCTTTCCCCCCTACCCCAAATTCCTTAGGTCCATTAGCGTATACTGCTAAACACTCAAAAAGCTGTCAAGGAATTCTACTAGCTATTGGGAACCAAAATGCTGAGTACTTCAAATTAATTTCATCCTCTACACATTATCCACCTGGTTTCAAAGTACTGAAAGTGTACTTTGCATTGTGAAAGCAGCTGTTAAACTTGCACTTACTCGATTAATAAATAACTGTGTGGGAAACTTGACCAGCTACCAGAATAGCATCTCAAAATTTTAATAATGAAATTCTCTTGAGTTTAGGTTTGGGTTTTGTTTATTTTTTTTCCCCTCAGGGACACTTCTGGGTGCTATTTGAAAGACAAAAGTCTATGAAGATTTACTGCTGGTACTCATGAGCTGTAGAACTTGGGTGTCTATTTGCAAATGCAAAGTGTCAGTCTGGGAAAATTGTTCTGTAACTTTGGCATTTGTCCCACCCCCGCATTATTTTGAGGAAAAAAAGAACTTAGCCCAGATTTTGTTTCTCTTCATGTTACTTGATATTCTACTTCAGGAAAACCTTGAACTGTAATATTAGTCTCTTCTCCATTAAATTTTGTGAAATGTAACAGGGACCAGTTTGCTTTAGTCTGTTTTAGCTTGAGTCTTTCAAGAGTATCTTTAGGTAAGGCACCACAGTTCAGTAAATTCTCTGCTGTGGAAACAGGGCATGATGGACTTGTGTACACAGGCTTCCATACCAAACAAAAGCTGGCTTCTCGAGTTTCCTGCTTGCTACTTGACCAATATGCCATCTTTGATACAGCTTCTTGTGGTGACCTGGTGTTTTGAAAAGGTGAGAGTAAGATCCCATTTGCTCAGATGGGCTTGTTCTTTAGCTGTAGATGTAGTTTTAAAAATCATAGAATGTTTAGGGTTGGAAAAGTCCTTAGGATCACCCAGTTCTAACTCCCAAAATGTAGTATGTGCATTTTAAAATAGACGTGTCTATTGTGTCTTCTGCTCTGCAAAGACTTTTCTTAGTGCTACTGCTGTCAACTTTAAAATACTGATTACAGCAGAATGCTTTGTGGGGAATTTAAAGCAACACTTTGTTCAATGTTGTTCCTTTGTATAATGTACAACTGATTCAGGACTTTTGATTATGGATTGCCTTCTGTACTATGAACAATTAAAAGTAAGCTGTACTACTGTAGCATGCATATAATCAGATGTAGACGATGTTTACTGCCTTAGCTTGACTTTGCAAGTTTCTGGAATGTGTTGCTTTGAGAAAACGAATAAATACAACTCTGCAAAAGAAAATACTTTATCTGAGGATGAGTGCAAAACAAGAATCATGGTTACAGAAGGGACTTATATTCTCAGTAAGATTTAGATTGTTCCCTGTGCCTTCTCGTGCTTTCAGTACTTCATGCTTACAGTTTATGTTCTGTCTCTTCTTAATTTATTGTTATCTCATTACTGGTTTAAATGCAGAAAATTAGTTGAGAAGTCTATATAAATAACTGAGTATGTTCTTTAAGCATGAGATCATCTGAATGAAACTCCAAAGACCTTTCGTCTTAATGGTAGTTGTCTGTGTATAATAGAAAAAAGCTGGTCTCTGAGGGGAAAGCCTCTGCTCTTGCATACATAACAAGAGGGCAGAAAAAATGTGTAAAAGAATACATGGAAACAGTGTAATGGCGTTTGATCAGTGTTGTTATTGCTTGGCGGAGATCTTGAGGTTCTGACAGTTCTGTAAAGATGACAACTGAATAGTCAGTAAATCAATGCAAATATTACGCATTTATCAGGGAACAAAACAAAAACCAGAAGAAAACAAAAACCAGATCTGGTTATACAAATTTGTGGTGTATCATAGATGCATTGCATTGCTATGTGTATTGCTTCTTGAGTACTAATCTAGTTCTGGGACTGAAAAATGGCACAGAACGTTCAGAGAAAGGCAGCAAGGAATGCAAACTTGTCCTTTTGCGTAATCTTATGTCATTTAAACCAATAGCTGAAAGTGGGATTTAATGATTCACTCATTTTACTTGTACACTTGACCAGGATGTATTTCTTAATGACTGACAGTGTGCTTTCCATGTAGGTTTTCTTTGAGTAAAGGATCTGGGGTTTTTGTTCTTTAATACAAATGCAAAAAATATGGTATCCTGGGGTTTGGAAATTAAAAATAATAACCTTTTGCTATTTAAAACACACAGGTATAAAATCCTGTATGCAGTGAATGTGGGATTTATTGGGATTGCTATAATTTTTATTCTTTAAGTTTCTGACTTCCAGGCTGTATCTCCTGAGCTCCATATGAGGACCTATCTTGTATTAAATATGAGGAAAAGTAAGGAAAAAATAATCTTGGTCTCAGTGTGTTAATAGAATAGTGGGTCACGCTTCTGTGTAACCAGAAGGTGACAGAAGGTAGGTGCTTGAGCTGACTTGCCTTGTAACAGTGTGTAGAGTGAGGTCAGATTTTAAGCGTTTGAGGTATCAGGGAAAAACACTTTCTTCCAGAAAGTGTCTTGAATGTATTGCTGTACCTAAAAGTAGAGGATGTAATAAATTAATAATAGTACTGTGGATGCTGAAGAAGGATAGGTTATGTACAGAATTTTGCACAGGATAAATTTGAGTATGTGGGATGTGTGTTTCTTTGGCTCGTACAATGGATCTCAGACAATTTTCATCTTGTTCGTATTGCCCTGGTAACATCAAGTTGAGTTTTCTGCCATTAAATCACTTATGGTGATGACTTTTAAAATAAACAAAAACCATTTATGAGGGGGGTGACATTATCTTTTCTTGTCACATGGAATTGCAAATTTTCCCTGTTCATCTGATCATGTACAGAGTTATGTAGCTTAGGGTCTTTTAAAAACTCTTTATTTCATGTTTGTCGGTAAAAGTGATCTTTCTCCAAGTTGGCAGAATTTTTTGTTCTTAAACTGAAAAGGTAACAAGCTAGTTTTTTGGCCTTAACCTGGCACTGCTTCTTTCAGTCTTACTAGGTTTTTAACCCTTGATCACTGAAAGAATATAGAGGAGTATGAGAGCTACTTTGCTGGTAAGGATGAGTGAATATCACTAATATAATTCATTACACTAAAGTTCTAAATTAAATGAGTGAAAACAGAGTGTTCATTTCAAGTAGTCTTTCTATATTTGGGAAGGATAGCATGCTTTAGGAGTTAAGAAGTCTTAACATTTGTGGTGCTATTAAAATATGGACAACAAATAGTTGCCAGCCAAAAAGCATGAGAAATTGCTAAATGTGTTTCAAATTGTGCTGGATGAAAAGGATTTCAACTTTTATTTAATAGGAAATAAGATCAGAATATTTCAAAAGTTGAAAGGTTTTAAAAGATCTGCCTCAATAAAATCAAGTTAAACTGTTCTTAATGTTGTCTTTAAGAAAGCTGTACTGTAAATCCATTGTGCAGCATCATTTTGTTGTCATGCAAGTTTTCATCTGTGGTCTGTAGGACTAACACTAGTTCATGCAGGTAACTAACAATATAATGAATTGAGAAATATTCCTGTAAAAATAGTCAAATATACCTGACTAAAATCCTTCCCAATCTGTTGTGATCTTTAAAAGCTAACAGAAGTACATAGAATAGCTTGTCCAAATAACAGGCTGGAAATTTATACTTTAAGAGGTCTTTTGCTCAGTTACTGAATTCACCTTTCTCTGAAATTTGGGTCTGTGGTGAAAATAAGACTTCTTTGACCTTGTAGTTAAAGTTGACTGGGGATTTGTACAGTTGCGGAAAACAGCTAATTATTAGAGTCAGTTTGTTGCTATATATTGGAAGAAATATTTCTTTACCCAGCTTCTCACAAAAGGTGCCTGAACAAAAAGACCGAATTGCAGGAAAAACCTTTGTTCTAAACGGAAAGTCGGTTTTAGATTTGGATATGAAAATTCCATAGGTTTTGCTTTGATTGATGAATTTTAAATACATTAAATACGCCATTGCTCATAGTCACTTGGTGGCTAAGGGAGCGTTTTCAGTTCTGTGTGTTCTGCACGTGGGGAAATAATTAGATTTGCATACAGAATTTCACCACCACTTGGTGGCAGTACCTGGCTTCAAAAGGACTCGTTTTTGAGCAGATGAAGTGACTGATTCTGTACAGCTATAGGTTAAGGGGTGTAGATTTGTCATAAAATTTCTAAAAGTTAGTGATGTGTTTTAGAAATCAGAATACTTTTTATTTAACTTACTGGAAGGATTTGCGTTTGTAAGTCTCTATGGAAAACCAAGCTATCATGCCTAATAGAATCCGTAATTTCAGCCTATTTCTTGAGTTAATACTATTCTCAAGTGATGTATTTAATATTCCCCACTTGAATTATTCTAGCATTTACTTCTAGCATTTTACTTTGATTGAGCAGTGTACTTAAAGTAATTTTAGAACATAAAATTTGCTTCATGGTAGTGTTCTTCATAAGGATGTGTTTTGCAGTTAAATAGAGGACTGCCAAAGCTTTTTTTGCCTTCTGAAATGTTCTCTGCATTTTCACTTTTTCATTTATTAATATAAGTTTTAGGAAAAGGTTCTCCAGTAGATTTTTCTGTCAAGAAAGCTGCTAAAAGTTTGTGCCTTTACTCATAGTTGTTGCTTCTTGGTTGTGCCGATTCAGCAGCGTGTGGGTCCCAGCTTTTTTAACTGGATAATGAAATGGTTGGAAGTGTGAAAGAAGGAACCTGGGGGAGTGGAGGAAGGCAGGAGTACTTTAAATTGGCTTTGCTGCAAAGAAAATCATTATTCCAGCATATAGCACAGTAATTTGACAGCATTTGGCTCCATGTTGAGACTACTTCCTCTTTCTTTAAACCAGAATCTTGCAATGACAGCAAGTCTTTCATTTTAGTATTATCCCCCATGTAAGGACTGTATGAGCCTGGAAGAATGCACTGAACATGTGCTGTTTGTGAAGTGTGTC